TTCTCCTTTTATCTTTCCAGTCGTCCTCTGTGTTTCCGTCCTCACACCTGTCTGTGTAAATATCCTCCACTCTGTAGATTTCATTTCTTTGTCTGTTCAGAGAAAACACCAGGATTCCTATTTTCATGACAATTAGTAACGTTCATACTGTTTTCCTCCTTTAGGCGTCTCTCCTCCGCTCCCTCTCCCACCCCTTCTCACCTCTCTGAGAGTTTAGCTGTGTAATGTGTGGTGTGTGAAGCGACAGGGGATGCTTTATTAATGTGTGGGGAGGCCTTGGCGGTACCCCTGCCTCCCCACAATAATATGAGATGAATAAATCTGAGACACGCCACAGGCTCTCGAGCACCTACAGGCGCAAACACACCCACATGCACATACACAGAACTTAAGTCGCGAACCTGGTCAATTCCTGGGGAAGAAAACAGCATCATAAAACTCTTATCACTTTAGAGCCCTCTGCTCTTCAGCACACACCGCCATCTCTCTCTGTCTCCGCTTTTTCTTTTTCTTCCTCTCTCTGTCTCTCCGGTTGTCCTTGAGGTGGCAGAGGGGTGGTGTCAGCAGGTGGAGTGGGCTGGGGGTGAAGAAGCACAAAGCTTTGATGCTTGTTGGGTCTCACTCAGCTGGGCAGTATACAGCACCGCAGCTCATCCCAAGGCTCTGTATAAATTCAACGCCAGTGACAATTTACAGCTCGCGCCCATCCTCAACATGACACACCAAGCAGAGCTTCAAGCGTGTCTTGTTGCCATCTCACCAAAGAGAGGCTAATTTATTACAGTGTAAAATCCACAGAGCAGAGTTAAGGGGGGAGGCAGAGAAATAGGGAGGCCTTGGTCTGGAGACTTGGTGTATAATATGCTTTTTTAAAAACTGTGTATATGGAAAAGGGCTGCAGTATATGCAGGAGCACATTATCCCTCCCCGCAGTGTGCCAAAGTGTTTAGATATTCCATATTTCATCTGCTTTAATATAAAACCAAAGATGCTATTTAGGGTCCAGTAAAGTGAGGATAGTCACAGTTTAGTGCCTTTTACGTCAGAAAGTTTGGACATCAATAATATTAAAGCACAAGCTAAGTCTACCTCTATCTCCCTGAATCAAATTTAGTCTTAAAAAAGGGTAAATGTATTTAAATATATGCCATGTCTTCCAGAAGGTCTTGACGGGGCTTCCTTTGTACCCGCCGAAGAAGAACGATGAAGAAGATCTCAGTTAATTACATCACGTCACAACTTATGAGACTGAACCCCAAGTTCCCGAGCCTGCTGTCACAGAAAGAGCTGACCAGCACAATCAGGGCTGACCTTCAGAATCCATTAGATTTATGTTGTTTTTCACTGGCACTTTCCTTCTCGCTGGTAATTTCCATATTTATCAGAGCTGATCATAGTTTGACATCCTTTAATTTTTTATTTCCTCCTGGCGAGCTGCGAGAGAATGAGCGGTAATGTGCAGTTAGTGCGGCTCGTGACTTTGGCAGGTGAGAAATATGCTGAGGGAGCTCTTTGATTTGGTAGCGTGGGCATAAATTTTGCCTCCGCTGCCTTCACTCACTCATTGTCAACTCCCCCTCCGCCCCCTGCTCAGCCGCCTCCCTCTCACTGTAGCGTACGCCTCCATTCTCGTTCTCACCTAACTCTTAGATTTTTTTTAGTCATGTTCTGAGCTGTTGTGACAGGCCAGTGGAGCCGTAAAGTTAAAATTAAAGAGATTCGTAATTGAGAAACATAACCTTTCACGTGTAGGCACTCGACCACGTCTCCATGGCGGGATGAAGAATTTACATCACAAAAACGGCGCCTGATGGATCGCTAACATATGTAGGTGCTGTATTTTGATAGATCACAATTACAGCACTTCACATAAATCACAACAGTGATGTACAAATACAATTATATAATAAGTAGAGTCAATATGATACTAAATTTAATACACTTAAATCAATACTATATATAAAGAAATATACGCATTAAAAAGGCCAAATAAATAACTATGGTTAAACTAGTTGCAGGTAATTGATGTAATCCAATTCAGTTGTATTTATATTGCGCCAAATCAAAGCAACGGTCACTTCAAGGCGCTATATAGCAGATATGAAACCCCAACCACTATGAAGAAGCACTTGGCGACAGTGGGAAGGAAAAACTCCCTTTTAACAGGAAGATGCCTGCAGCAGAAGCAGGCTCATATTTTACAAATAGCAGGCTCATATTTTACAAATATGTAAAATAATTGTTTACTTTTTCTTCTTCTTTGGGCTGCTCCTGTTAGGGGACAGAATCCTCCTCCTTACGTCACACCGACCCCCTGCATGCCTTCCTTCATCATATGTCCAAATCATCTCAACTTTGCCTCTCTAATGGTTTGTCCAAACCCTCCGACATATTCATTTCTAACCAATGCATAATGGAAACATCTCTCATGCTGAAGACGCACCAGCCGTCTCATCCTAACACATGCTTATGTTTCTTATTTCCAGCACTGTGTGGTCATTTGCTATGGCTATGTATATTTTGGTTTGGCAAATTAGCAAACCCCCTCTTTTTCCCCCCCTGCATGTGGCTGATCTGTGAGTGCCAACATGAGACACAGAGGACAAAACTATCCGTGTGTTTATATAGTGTCACCATTTTTGGCCATGATTTTGAATTCAACCCAGAATAGTTATGAAATGTTTACTAAATCGGTCAATCAGCTGTCAGTTTTTACAGATATTTGCACTCATTAATCCTTAAGTTAATGAGTTATGGCAAAATATAATGTCACCTGCTGGTTCCAACTTGTCATGTCTATATTATTTGATGATTTATATTTCTTTTATATCAGCTTTGTAATAAAACTATAGTTTCAAAAAAACCATTTTGGCTTGTCAAACAACTGAAGTGAGAGTGATGCTAGTTTGACGTTTCCTACTCTTGAGGAAAAGCATTCATTGGTGGAGGAATGTTCTCTGTTTGTACTTTGATTCCTGAGAACTGTCAGCAAAGACAAACAAAAAGATTTTTCCAGAAAGGCGAATGAGATCATTTGTGACGCCTTGAGAAAGCTACCTTTCTTTCTCTTTCTCTTTTCCTCGTGTCTTCCAAGCTGTTCTTCCAGTCTCGCTCCACAGCCACCTGGCTGCTGATCTCTACTGACACCTTGAGGTCAGGAGACGCTTCTGCACAACTATGCTCGACACTCAAACGAAACTTGACCCTAACCTTTGTGTTACCTTTGTGCGACACACACCTCGGCCCGATTTCCTTTTATGTATAACCTAGCTGTGGTGCTTGTATCCTCCAGGTTCCCTGCGGGTGTCAGTGTGCCTATGGAATAGTGGGACTTAATTTTGTGCTACAGTGCTTGGCTGCGCACAGTCAGATACAGAGGAATGCAGAGATACAGACACATAAACACAACAACTACTTGGGGAGCATTTGTGAGAGCCCTGAGGAGACATAGTCTCACACACACACACGAGCAAACACACGCATACACACAGATACTCACAGAACGATGTGGGATAAACAGTACATCCATTGTAAGCTCCAGGAGCCTGCTGGAAGAGATTGTTTTGATGAAGCAGCAAGGGCACACTAGCACTGAGACTAAATGTAGCATGGCTATGATGGTTGAATTCCCAGACAGTCGGGACCTTGGCAGCTGCCTCCAGTTTGGCTCACAACTTTCTGGGTTCTTGGTTTTACTGTAGGGAAAATGGCTGTGTGCCTTTTTCCCTTTTCTGATTGCAGCTTTGCACTGTACAGTGAGTGTGTGTATCTGAGTGTGTGCGATGGCTGTGCTCTTGGTTCTGGAGCCTACACGGTGGCCCGGGGTCGAGGCCAAAGTAGAATTTGTAAGTGATGGAATTTCACAGACACCGAGCACCCAGCGGCCAGCGAAACCGCAAGCACTCACATTTACAACAAACGCCCTGCCCCGCTCCGCGGAGACTCCTGAATGGCAAAGCCATTTGTCTCTGTGAAGGGCAGAGGGAGGAAAAAGCGAAATAAAATCAGAGGCAGAGTGCTTAAATGGAACAATGCTTTTTTTGTTTACGACTCCAAACTCCTCAGACAGACACGCGTGTGCTCCCACACGCAGAGAAGCACACACTCATTGCTCTGAGGTTAAATTGGAATTAAAGAGAAGGAAAGGTGCATACCCTGTTGCTAATTAGCATTTTCTGTGCTCAGCAGAAGAGGTGGAAGAATCGATAAGATATTAAGTTTGTGTATCGCAATGAAGCTCGCAATCACTTTCATCCATTAGCAACAGCAGATTAGAAGAGAAACACGAGCCAAGAAAACAGCGAAACTTTAACCTTTGTGGTTTGAATGAATAAATCCTGTTTGGCTTTTTTATGTTATTCAGCTTTATGTTGCTTAGTTTTCAATATTAGTAATGCAATCATGCTTGAGATGATTAGAATATAGTCATTCACACTGGTATGAAGAAATATGATGTTGATGTTTAACCTCAAAAGGTTTAGTGGTCCTTGTGTGTGCAGAAATACACCAGTAAAGCAGAAAAGCTCAAGAAAAGTCAAACACATCTGTGCAACAACATCTCCAAGGAGTATGTGTGGAGCGTCGAGCCACAGAGAATTCCTTAGCAAGCCTGAATCTTAACTCAAAGAAGACCTCTATCAGGTCACACCTGTTGCAAGCAGAGCCTGACCCTATAGATGTATAATTCACCTTATCTATTGAATATTCTGTGGCGTGTGTTGGTTTGATGATTGATTCATGTGTATCTGGCTGAAAATAGACTGTGAGGTCAGCCTGTGTTTTGATCCAACCTCTCACACCGGACTTTTATGGGTTACATGTATATCTAAGTTTAATACCAACTCTCAATTGTTATTTTGTGTCCGAGAATACGTTTTTGGAGTTGCTCTAAAGGTCTGCTAGAATTTTATGCATTAACAGCACCACCTCTTTCTCCCTCTGGTACCCTGTCTTTACCTTTCTTCTCCTCCTCGCCAACTCCTCTCACTACCACTGTTTAGACCACATGAGTGCAGAACGGGAGAAGAAGCTGGTCTTTCTCACCGCCCGCGTTCACCCCGGAGAGTCTCCCGCCTCGTTTATTTGTCAAGGTAAAGTTTTAATGGGAGGTCATTGATTCAAATGCAGAACCACTCACCTGTGTGCACAGCAGCAATGCGGTACGTATACATTTTGCTGTTAGTAACCAGGATGTTTATTGATACTGTTGACTCATGTTTTACATCACTTTTTCAAAAATTCAAAATCATCGTTGCACGCCCTGAAAATGAAATGAAAAAAATGAAGATTTATTTTATAATCCGTGGTTTCTCCAGATGATGTAACGGCTCAAAATCCTTGTTTGAAGAGCTTTCGTTTGTTTAATTTTTTTTAAACTTTTTATTTCTATTAAAGAGCCTGTTTACCAAATTATCACAAGCCTCAGAAAAACAAATATCAAGAGTACCAAAATGTCTGATCTCCAGCTGAGATTACATTATTATTACATTATACCTCATTAGCCTTTTTCAAACTGGAAAATTCTTTCCAAACATGTTAAATGTAGCACAATCACATTTGCAAAAAAAAGTTGAGACACAGTGTAAAATGTAAACATTTAAATAAAGGTGCAACGTAAACATGTCAAATGTTGGAAATGAGAAATGCTGTTGTTGTCATCTCAATGGTCTTGTCTGCTCCTCTTGTTGTATTTTTCATTTCATAAAACACTAAATGCTTCCAGACAGATCTGGACTGCACACAGGCTGCCTGTGCTGTGGATAGAGGCAAAACAAACCATTAAACCAGACTAATTAACAGACTAGCTCATCGTACTAAAAAAAAAGCTCAACATGTGATCAGTAATAACACATCTCTGATATTGTCTGGAAACTATATGTAATGAAAAGGGATGAGCAGTCAGTCCTTTCACACTTACAAAGGAATTATAATTCTGACCTTGCACCTGAGTATAATATGCTTGAAACTTAACAGAAGAGATACCTGAGCCTATATTTCTCTATAACAACTTGAACTATAGTCCTGAAATACAGTGGTGTTGTGGTGTCTTTGCTCCTGAGCTCTGGTAACTCAAAACTAATAAAGCATCTTGAAAAACTAGGAACCTTTGGGAAATTGTCTTTTAGCAAGATTTAATGGCTCTGTTGCTCCTTTCCATCGGCTCAGAGTGGTCAGGTTAGCTCCTGCTGGGTTCCTTTGTTTATAGGTAATGGGACTGAAAAGGAAAGGTAAAGTGTGCTCTATCTATCTATCTATCTATCTATCTATCTATCTATCTATCTATCTATCTATCTATCTATCTATCTATCTATCTATCTATCTATCTATCTATCTATCTATCTATCTATCTATCTCAGTGTGCATATGCATTATCATGGATCAGATGAGCTGGCTTTTAGTCCGCCGTGTGTCTGTTTTTCCAGCGCCGTCAGCTCCATTCCATTTGTATCGATTTAGGCTTGACGTCTCCTATTCCTCCCTCGATTCTGATGATGCCCCTCGCTGTCCTTCCTTCTCCTTTTGTTTCTCAAAACTCAATTAACTGCCAGCCTGCCTTTGGTTTTCTTTTCAAGTCTATTTTCCTCCGTGTGTGTGCCTGTGTTTCATAGGTGTGATTGACTTCCTGGTGAGCCACCACCCTGTTGCTCAGATCCTGAGAGATCATGTGATCTTCAAGATAGTCCCCATGCTAAATCCCGACGGAGTCTACCTGGGCAATTACAGGTACACAAATGTGCATGTTTTAATTCTTAATTTTAAACCGTCCCTACACTAAGTAGAACTCACACATTACATGGTTTTGTATCACACTCTGTGGGGTTATATCCTCTTAACTCCACCTTTAGAGAGCTTAATGAATTCATATAGCTCACAGCAGTGCATTTGTTAGAAGATAGTATTTGGCTGTAGGGCTGTTCTCTTTGCCAGTCTCTCTGTCCATCCTCTCCTCCACTCTGTCTTTAACACTGCTGCTGCAGCTCTGTGGGCATCCTCCTCTCCTCTGTTTTCCTCTCCTCTCATTCCCTTCTTCATAATTGCCTTTTACTTAATAGGCTCAGCCCTCAGAATACTAATGCTCACCAAGATATGCAACACACTCCCACTGTGTTTGTGAACGCCATCTAGTGGTGGTGCCTTGCCCCTGTCCCCAAAATACATGTGCAGGCATTCTTTAGTTGCTTCCCACAGTGACAATCTCAGTAATACCATTCAGTGCGACTGGTGATGGTTCAGGCTATTGTCATTGGCTTGTTTTTGCACTGAGTGGTGATAACCAGCATATTGACAGTAGGTGAATAGTTATAGTCCTCATCCGTGGACACAGACACACAGAACGCATACACAGAAACCACACAGCTACCTCAGCAGGACACAGTGGAGAGCAGACTGAAATGGATACATGCAGAGCAAATAATCAATTGCAGTTAACCTGGGATGAGTATTTTGTTCATGGCTGGCTGCGTTGCTCCGTTGCCCTGCAGTATCAGTAACTCCTGTGTCATTATCACTGGCTTTAGCAAATGTCAAAGATCGACATGTCACAAAGCACAGCAGATTAGGGCGCATATTTAGATGTAAGCATCCCATTATGGCAATTTGACACTCCTGGTAACACTATAAGGTTGGGCGCCACAGCAGCCTAATGTTTGGGGCACGTGCCACATCATCCGTGGTTCAGCTGCCGGTCAGCCGGACTTTGATTACAAGTTCAGGCACTTCCCTCATTCCCAGTCTGCTTCTAATGCGTCTACTGTTTCTTACCAATAATGCATCATGTGTATTTGTTGCAAGGATTTTTTTCCTCTCTTCAAACACTTGCCGAGCTGAATCGAGTAAGAATTTGTGGCCTACATTTTTCTGTCCTGAATCAATCTCAGTTTACTATGTAGGGCATCATATTTAGCAGCTGCCCTTTTATTAGAGGATTTGAATTTCGAGTGTGCAATAAATGCTAGTATACTCGTAGTAGAAAGATAGCCATCGTGACGCCACCCACTGGTTACAGAGCCCTCAAGCTGAGCGTTGGTGTTTTGCAACCATACAGTGAAACCGAGGACACCACAAGCTGATTGGCTAATGAATTGTGACTGATAAATAGTTAGTTAGAGAATGCACTTTACGATCCTCCTTTATAACTTTAATAGTTTTATTCAGTAAAAAGTGAAAAAGCCCTTAAAGTCATCAGAAATGTATTTACTGAGGTCACAGAGGCAAGGAGTCGAGGGCTGTTTTGTGTACAGTCAAAACCTATTTGCAAACAGTGAAGTCGCCCCCTGCTGTCCATTAAAAAGAATGCATGTTTACACATTTTACAATTTACACTGATGCTGCTTCCATCTTTTATTCCGTGTTTGTATATTTGGAGCTTTTTACAAAGAAACCAAAGTGCTGAAAAAAAGAAAAAAGATGACAATTTACAAACCTGATATCCTGAATGTTTTAAAGAAATTACTCAGTCATTTAAGTAAGGAAGTGATTTCAGGCACAGGGATGCATTTTTTTTTTATATCATTCTTATAACGCGGCAGTCTCAGCATGTGATACTAAAACCATCTTTTAATTAGTGAAGAACTGTATAAAAAAGACAAGAGGTCACTTTTAAACTTAAGCTTTGAGCACCGTTTGTGGCCACAAGGTGCCTTTAGTCATTTGTAAGGCAAACCGCATTTGATTTTCCATTATCTGTGTGTGTGTGTGTGTGTGTGTGTGTGTGTGTGTGCGTGTGCGTGCACGCGCATGCTTGTGTGTACAGGTGTTCTCTGATGGGCTTCGACCTGAATCGACACTGGCAGGATCCCTCTCCGTGGGCCCACCCCACACTGCACGCTGTGAAACAACTCATAGTGCAGATGAACCAAGACCCGGTGAGTGTGTTTTCACACACACACACACACACATGCACGCGAACAGACACAGTCCTCTGTTATGTGCTCAACATTCCTTCTCCACAGTAGCGTCTACTGAGCCCAAGAACAGTTTTCTTTCTCCCTGCTTGGTTCAGCATGTTTCTCCAGTCTGTGTTTAGGGTGTGTGCGCTGGGGAGCATGAGGAGGCCAGTCAGCACCTCTAGAATGTCAGCTAGGCTCTCCTGGCCATTCAAAACATATTACTGAAGCAAGACTGTGTGCTTTCAGTCTTTAAATCTACCGTAACTTTTTCCTTCTCTACTTTGAGACTTTCAGTTGGAGGAACGCTACACAGGGAGGCTAGGGATTTTTCATCTTTGTTCCTGATGTTAATTATAAGCAGAGCGGCAGGTTGGTGGGATTACTGAAGGTCAGCGTGTGTCCTGGGAATACTCTGCCCTTTTGTACACTCCTCTAATCCTGATAAGAGAGGGAGCAGGCTGGGGCGGGATGCAGGGCAGGCCAGAGATGGGGTGAGGTGCGGGGCTGGCATCGGGCAGATTAACCTTTTCCCTCGACGCTGACACGCTGATCGATAGACTCTGTCATGGCAGGGTGATCCACTCATGCCTGTCATTCACACACACTCACACACATACTCACACATACTCGCCTGAGCAAACAGACACAGAATGTACACAAACAAACAGCCACAAAACTGCAGCACTGCTTAGAAACATGGATGAGTGAATGTAATGTGTTTTCATCCTGAAACGCGCGTTCTTATTCTCTGTCAGATGCATTTCGTTTTTAAAAAGATACTATACCGAGTCTTTTTCAGCACATTTGCACACATTCATTCTCAAGCAGATACAATTAATGGAAGATTGTTTTACAATAAAATATGCTAATTGTAGCAGTACTGCTGGGTAAATGAAGAGCCCAGTCGATATCACAGAATTAGACCATATGTTTCCCGAGTCCACTCCTGCGGGTCAGAAGACTTGAATTCCTTCTCCTTTTCTATTGATAACCATCCACCAGCACTTGTCGTGCTGTAGCCCCCTTCTCCCCGATGATTGCCTTCAGTCTTGCAGAGTTAATTTGGAAGCTTGGGCAACCTCTCCTGTTCTGTCTCTCTTTCGCCACAGCCAGTTAATCCCATCAGACACACTACTCATGTCTGGGGCTCCCAGATGCCAGTTTCGATGCCAACTCTGCAGCCAGGAGGCCCTGTGCTGCTGCCCTCCATTCATGCTCGTCTCACTCAGCGGGCATAGAGTCTAATGAGGCTACCATGGTTGGAGGGCTCTGCTGGAGGACTCCATTAACAGGAGAGCAGCAGCAGCCACAGCAGAACAGTTGGGCTAAGCTAGCATACTGTATGTGGTCCATTTACTAGCTGGTAACTCTGCGTGGTTATTTGTTTAAAATACAAAAGCTAGAATAAGCTTGAAGACCTGGGAATCTGGATTATTCATAACACTACCAAACAATTAAGCATTGATAACACTTAAACCATATTAAGGAAGCAGTTGAGAGACTGTTGAATTAATCAGTGACTGTTTGAGCCGCCGCTAAAGGAGCAATCGCTAAAATATAACTGATTGCCCCTCTTAACATTACACAATCTTTGCTTGCTGTAAAGTATAAATTAAACATAAATATCCTGACCCACGCTCGCCCGTTCTGTAGAATATTCATCATCGTATAGCTTTAAAATATCCAACTGGCACATTAGGCACTGCAGTACAGTTCCCCCAAATTCAGCACGTCAGTCAAACAGGTGGGTGGCAGCTTTCAGGGACTGCAGAGTCACAGCAAGTAAACTAAAAACAGTTTGAACAGCAGCCCCGGTTTGCCATTTTAATGTCGCTGCTTCATGTTAGCTGTCTAAAAAGGTGTTAAGAGTGCAGGTTTTCATAATGATGCCTTCACAGGGCAATTGCAGTAATGTTAACAGTGTCTGCTGGCTACAGATGACCTTTTAAATGGTAACGAGTTTTCCAACTCATAACAACAAACTCCAACATCAAAATTCAAAGAACTTAGGTTTGCTGGAATTGCAGCTTCAACTTTTGACATGACATGAGAACATATAGTGAGCCCTATGAAAAAGAAGTATTCCATTACCATAGGACTTGAGGTAAGGCGCAACCAAGCGCTGCTAATGCTCTTGATTAAGTGATCAGCAGAGAGTGTAAGCACCGCGATAAAACCAGGAGTTTTAGCAGTTTGCAGGTCTGGAGTATTCAAGTGTGTGTTAACATAAACCCAGGACTAGACATCACAGTAAAGCTATATCAGACTCTACAGGCTTCAGGCTTCAGTTAGCATGTTAAATGTTAAGTTTTAATGTTTAGAAAGATTGCCAGGAAAAAGCTCTTAAAAAACAACAACAAAAAAAAAACCATGTGCAGCTTAGCTTTAGAAAGTTGCATCTGAACAAATCACAAGAACTCCTTCGTATGGACCTGACCAAACTGTAGATATTTGGAGATAATGCACAGCGATTAAGAGCAAAAAGCAAACACAGCATGTCAGCACGAACACCTAATACCAGCTGTCAAGCACGGTGGTGGAGGAATGGTGGACCCAGGCATCTTAAAGACATAGAGTCAGCCGTGAACACCTCTCTATACCAAAATATTCAAGTCAAATGTGCATCTGGCATTCAGTGTCAGATGTATGCTGCCATGCAATATGAAAAAGTTCCCAAACACAGCAGCAGATCTACAACAGAATGGCTAAAAAAGCAACTAATGAAGGTGTTGCAACGGTGCAGTCAAACCCAGGCCCAAACGAAATACTGTGACACGATGACTTACTTACAGAACTTACAGAAAAAAATTCCCTAAGATTTTTTTTTAGACAGACTTTTTTCTCTTTTTTTTCTTTTGAAATGGCAGCAGATACATGTAAGTCGACTTTTGTTTTGTTTTTTCTGTGTGCACATCTCTGTTTGCATTTTGCCTAATTTGGGTGGTTTGCTAATACAGCTCTAACATCATGTAGATAATTTGTTGACCTCTTCTTATATTCAAAAGTCCAATATGTGTCTCAAACCTGGATTTCAAGATCAAATCCAGATATGCCAGCGGCAATAAGTCACCACTTCAGGGCGTAGTTTATCATAAACAGTTTATGCATTTAAATGAGCATCATGACATAAAAAGTAACGATTAGCCAATAAATGTTGCGATGGAAGATCGAAATGTCGTGTAACAAGTTAACAGTTCTATCTCATCTCAGGTTGAAGTTGCTGTGAGCCATTATGAACATAAATCTGACCCCAAGGCCGTGTCACCACGACTTCTTTACTTCTTTAAACACCCACATTTCTATGCATAAGGCATCATAATTCAAAGTCACAAAGGAGCCTACCAGCATTCAGCTTCAAACTCCATCTACCGTTCTTGAGACGCATACCTTAGTCACTCCAAAGTGATTCCCAGTCATTGTGAATGCAGCAACACTTGCTTTCTGTTGGTAAAATAACTTCCTTGTTCTGTTCAGGCAATGACTTCAATAACTGTAAGGAGCTTTCCAGACAAGTGCCATTTAAAATCAAAGCTTGTAGCAGAAGCAATATACACTGCATTACCACTGATGGCTGAAAACTTTTATTTGACTAATATTTATGGAGAAATTCAACACTTTTCGGAGCGCACCCGTGTTTATGCAGAATCTGACCTAAACAAGAACTGATGTTTTGAAAATCAGAGACTTAGGTCCCATCAACCAGCTCACAGTTTCTGGTAACTGTTTTTATTGATCTATAAATGCAGAAAAACTGAACAGCAACAGTTTGGCGGGAGGGAAATAAATTAATTGCACCCAAAGAAATAGTGCCCGCATAAAAATGATGATTAAATATTCCTCCTGTGGAGGAAACTAAATCAAAGTGTACAGGTGTTTGCAGATATAGCGAAGCAGTGAATGTTTCATTTTAAAATAATCTATTCATCAAACATAAACAAATACACTGTTTACCCCAGTTTGTAATTCCTCAGCATTTAAAAAACAACTAATGGTTGTCAGCCGATTTTTTTCTGTATGATCTCCAGGAGATGTGTGTTTACTGACATCATTTTTACTATGCTCCAGTCACAGAAAACAGTGCTTGGAGACAGCAGCACCAACACAATTTGAAGCTGCTTCGAAGACGGGGACCAGGTCTGCGGTTGCTCGCAGTCACTTATCACTTAAAGACAATTACAGTAGCATGCAGTAAAAGATTCAATTCATTCAATTTTATTTATATAGCGCCAAATCACAACAACAGTTGCCTCAGGGTGCTTTATATTGTACAGTAGATCGTACAACAATAGATACAGAGAAAAACCCAACAATCATATGACCCCTTATGAGCAAGCACTTTGGCGACAGTGGGAAGGAAAAACTCCCTTTTAACAGGAAGAAACCTCCAGCAGAACCAGGCTCAGGAAGGGGCGGGGCCATCTGCTGCAAACATTTGGGGATGGAGTCTGCTATCACTTTGCAATTAAATGGGATCAAGTTGACAATTTTTATGCATTTTTTTTGCAATACCCCAGTGATGAACTTTTGTCAAGAACAGAAATATCTTCCCAAAATACAGGCAGAGTTGCTGAAGGATGGCAATTTAGCTGCAAAATGACATGCATACTCACCAACCTCGGCTTCATATAGGAATATAAGGAGAGCTGACTTCCCTATTGCAAAAACACACATTACACACGACTGACTCAAATTAACTGTTATAAACTAGATGGTTATTATTTGAAAACGTTCACTAATCTGTCTGAGAGTGACTGCAGACAGTCCCAGTCAGACCACAGTTATTTGGAGACAGGTTGCCTTGCACCAGGCGACTTGTGCAATCGCATAACGAGTAATGTGGTTGCCTCCATGTTAAGGGTGTTGCACGGTCAACCTCTGGGCGACCGGTTGTTTACTGCAGCTGTTAGCAACAGGTATTAGCAACCACTGATTTTTCGTTGTTTCAAGGAGGTTGCTGTTTAATTTTCGCTCTAGTG